AAAAAAAAAAAAAAAAAAAGCTTTTCCAGAACAAAAATTCTTGGCCCAAGTGGCTGTAGTGGTGAATTCTGTCCAACATATAAGGAAGAAACAAAACCAACCTTACAAAAATCTTTCAAAGACAAGTTATGAAGAGAGATACTTCCTAATTTATTTTATGAGATAAAGTTATACTCTGGTACCAAAAAAGACAAAATCAATACAAGACATCTACAGAGTAATATTGCTCACAAACAGAGATACAAAAATCTAACAAAATGTTAGGAAACAAAACCCAATACTGTACATGGAAAGAATATACATCATATTCTTATATAGGTATATGATATACAATATAATACAAATATATATAATTCCACCCAGGAGGAATACAGGAATATAGTTTGATATTCAAATCACTCTTTTTAATAGATACAAAATTATTTGACAAAATTTAATGTCTATGATTTAAAAAAAACTGGCAGTATATTAATAGAGGACAATGTTCTTAAACTGAAAAAGGGACCTAGAAAACAACACATAGACAGTGACTTACAGGTAGATTATAAAAATGTTGATACAAGCATAGCATACGTGTGTGTATCCATGTTGTACACACATTTACATACACTCACACAAACACTTTAGCTTTGGATACTAAGAAATAACATCCCACTAGCAACAAACACATTTACTGCCTAAAATGTGGTTTGTAAACACCATTATCCACTAAAAGAAACAGGGCTCCATGGGCAAAAAAGGCTGATTCAGTGTTTGGACTAGGAAAATTCAAGGAGTCTGGAATGTCCTGCTGAAGAAGTGAAGAAGTACTAATGAATAATCGAAGCATGTTAAAAAGCTACAGAAGCAAACTTGAAGGGTCTCCCAGTGGACCTTCCGGGCCAATATGAGCATCAAAATTAATAACAATGCAATATAATACAGCTGAGTAAAATAAAAATCTACAGATCAATAGACATAAATCCATAAATAAGTGAAATCACTTCCTTCCAGAAAGATGCCAACAAATAAATATATAAGACAGAACTAGAAAAATCACCAGTAGATCCTAAAACTAGTGGAAACTTACAAAGTCCCAGCATATTTACCCACAAATTACTTATTAATTACAAAGATAGTAATAATTTAATTATAAGTTTGAGAGCAGCACTGAGGGAACTAGCATGACTGGCATTGGGACAAACTGACTTGTTATGATGCACTGAGAAACATACATTATACCTTCAGTGGGTATTTGAAGTACATAACTTGAATTTAACCATGAGGAAACATTAGACAAACCTAAAATACAAAACATTCCACCAAATAAGTGTTCTGTGCTCTTCAAGAAAGAGAAAGAATGGGTGAGAAATGACTCCTCATTAAAGAAAACTGTAACAACAACTGTGCTAAAGTTTTACTTATGATAATTTTTAAATTTTCCATAGAATCTTCCTATGCAGAAATAATCCTTCTACAACACTGACCAGATGAAAAGTCAGCATAATTTTGAACACTAAGACCTGATAGCAAAATTGCTTTTGAATATAGATAAATAAAATACTAAAGGAAAACCTACATAACCTAATTGAAAACTAGATTTGAGAAAAGTTAACCTACAGAGAACACCCACTACTCTTCTCTACCTACTGCCAGGTGGGCTTACTGAAGGAACTCAAGCATGGTTTAATAGCGATAAAGACTCTAGTCATCTAAACAAAGGCCAAAAGGTATGCAGCAATAAAAATATGAAGTACTAATATAACCAGTAAGGAAACTAAGTATAAAATGAAATATCAAGTATAGTATGAAGTATCAAGAAAAAATAGGCCTTAATAGTGACAAAAATACTAGAGCTAGTAGTGAAGAAATATCTAGAACCTAAAGAACCAAATATTACTGAAAGTTATGATTCAATTGCTATTATTAAAACTTAAGTAAATAGTGTTATACTGTGCTCCTGAATTGGATAAAGATGTCTGTTTTCCCCCAAATAATTTGAGATAAAATTTTAATAAAATTCTATTGGAATTTACACTCAGAACGTTATAAAACAATACCTTAGATCAAATGGAAAAAGAAACTGGTGACAAAACAGCCAAACTATGGCTTTATCTCATATTTAAACATAAATTTCCTAGATGACTTAGGTAATTAAAACAAAACATTAACCATTAAAAATTTAGAAGAAAATAAGTGACCAGCTAAATTTCCTTTAAAAAGAAACCTCTTTTTAAAGTGTAACACCTACATTATAAAAGTTTATATATATGTCTAAATTAAAAGCTAGATATACTTATTTGCATATCAAAAGATCATAACCAAAATCAAAGGCAATGTACAGAGCAAGTAAAAAAATTTAAAATCAATAAGATGGGCATAAACTAGTGTCCTTTAGCTATACTTTTAGTCATTAAGAAAATTACTGATAGCATAATAATTTAACAAAAGACATGAATACTTGTCTATAAAATAAGTCAACATGAAAGGTATTCAACATCATTAGTAATTAAGGAAATGTGAAGTAAAACAATCTAAAATGCCTTTTTTGTTATCAAGTGTGATTAAAAACTATAAATGTTTAAATAAAATTATAGTAAAAGACACATTGCTATTAATTTCCCTCAAAATACTCCCCTCCCCTCCAACACTCATCACGTTTCTGAAGCACCTCTGGAAATCCTCTTGTGCTGTCACGGCTGCTTCCACGTCCTTAACTGATTCAAAATATTTACAGCCATTTCTGTCAAAACATTGTTGTGTGTCCTAATCCACTTTATTCACCAGATCTGGCACTGTGTAACTTCTCACTCTTTCCCAAAGTCAAAATGACCGTGAAAGGTAAACATTTTGAATCTGTTCAGGACATTTAGGCAGCCATGACCATGCAACAAAAGATATTCATAAAGAGATATTCATATTCAGAACTGTTGCAGCAAGTGCCAAGAATGATGCAGTAAATATTTCAAAGTGTGTGCGTGTGTGGGTAGGGTTGGTACTTTGAGAGGAATTCATAGGAATGTCTTTTACTTAATAAATTTTAAAATTTAAACAGTATTTTTTTAAATCACACTGTGTACGTGCAAAGGTATCATTCAAATCTAACAAGGTGGCACTGACTAAAACAAGAAGTCATGACCTATTTGTTAAGAGCATAAAATTCTGTAACATTTTTGTGGCATATATTTCCCACAAATATACCTCCAATAAATGTATTTTTGAATCAGTAAGCCCATATCTAAAAGTCGATTCAAAGGAAACAATAAAAGATAAAGACAAACATTTACATAGAATCTTATTCTTTAAGCACTGAATATTTCTAAATAAATGTTGAATTAGGGACATGGTTATCAAATATTAAATATCCAAATGACTGAAAATAATATTGTCATTTAAAAGCATATTTATTAAGAATTCATAGTAGCTCAAGAAAATGCTCATACAATGAAGGTGAAAAATGTCCCCCCTACAGGTTCTTTTACAATACTCTGTAAATTCCAGGCATAGACCTGTCCTTTTCACATACAAATTGTCTTCCTCCACCCTAAAAAGCACATTAGTGGGCAGCATAGCTCAACTTCAAACACTTACTGTATCTGTACTATAGCCTGACAGTGAAAATACACATCCTAGATTGCCCATCTTAAAGACAGCCCTTAAATGTACCCCACTGCAGCCTGTAACATGTTCTCACTTCTCTGAACATCCACACTCCATTCTTTGAATATACCCCAATAAATCCCTTGTGTCTTTTTTACTGGTATATTAAAAATTCTTTTTCCTTGATGAGAGTCAGCAAACCTATCTACTCATTTTAAAAGAGTGGGATGCATTCATTATTTCAGCCTTGGAGACTTGAGACCCAGCCCAGTGACAGTAAGGCACTACAAATTTGGTTTTATTTTTCTATTTTTCTACAAAGAACATGTATTACTAAAAAGGGAATAACATTATAAAAACTAACATATTTCAAAACGTAGCAATTTACCTGTGACTTTTGTTACTGTTTCTCTCAGTATTCTGAAAACCATTTTGCTAAAGCTACTGTAAAGCAAAGTTGCATAAAATAATGGTCAATAAACTTAAATGTTGTCAAGGGTCAGTTTATTGAGGATTCAGTGATGCTATTACTTTTCACTGTTAGACTCAAAAGGTCACAGCCATGAAATTACACAATTACTTTCCCATATTTTGTTCAGAAACACAAAATTCAAATCCAAAGCAATGTTCAAAGGAATCTGACCCCTGACCCCCCTCCCCATAAAATGGTGATTAAGGATCAGGAAATACAGTCATACAGAGGAAGGGTGAAATGGAACATGTAAAAAGCAAAATGGTTTTGTATGTTTGTTTGAGTGGGTTTTTTTTTTCTTTATTAACTTTATTTTCAAATCTTTTCAATTTTCTTTTTATTTTTTACACCAAAAAAGGCATCAATACTTTTCATGCCAGTCTTGTCAACTTTAGCCAAAGCCTTCTGAGCTGCAGTCATTTTGCTATTTTTCTGCTAAGGAAAATAAAAGAAAAATTGTTATGATTGTATTACTTGTAAATCATGTATGCAAATCAGACAACACTGCATATCTCATCGTTCATTAAGGGAGGTAAATGTCTGCTACTAACACGCTTCATAAAGGAGTGAAAAGTTCTAATATCTACTCAGAATTCAGACTTCAGTGTGAAGACAAAAAACTGCTGCCTTCTAAGGAGGGGAATGTTACAACCAATGGTTTACTTTAGGGGAGCAATTCTGTTGGGTGCATTAAGTGTAATAACACAAACAATGCAACTGACACAGGCAGCAATTGTCAGAGGGAGAATTACAGCCTTGTATTACCACATGATGAATAATTCACACCAATTTACCATCTGATTTTATTCATTTGCTCTATGTGAAACCAAAGACAACCCTATTATATTCAAAAGAGGACTTAGAGTAGAAGGATAGCTGTGCCATTTTATTTCTCTAACAAAGAAATATTTTCCAAAAAGCTGACTCCAAGTAACTCTGCTTTGTAAATTTCTATCTTTTCTTGGTTACTGTATTTTTAAATGTCCTTTAAAGAGTAGTAAAAGATGATAAATAGCAGCTGATTTTATTTCAATGCATCACAACTTGTTCAGAAGAAGCGTAAGTGATGGGAATCAGGAAAGAAACAAAACAAAACAAAACACATAGGTTTCCCTGGAAACAATAGAACAAGTTCACTGCCCAAATATTTTTTTAAGGGCACAGTATATAATTCCTCTAATGTTGCTTTTGATGTTGTCACTTGTTAACTTACAAGGCCTTATTTCTGACTAGATGCTGTACCATCAAGACCTTTCTAAGCATAAAAAAATGGGAAAAATCATTAAAAATTTGTCTATACTTAACCTCATAAAAAATTTTAAACTACTAAAATTACCAAATCAAAAAGTGAAAATATTCTGGAAGATAATTTGTATACTATTATGAAAAAATGTTAATGGCCTTAATTTAAAATATGTTCATATGAGTCAACAATAACAACAAAACATTGTTATCTCAACATAAAAATAAATAAGGTATACAAAGAACAATTGGTAAAACTTTAAATGGGCAAAAAGCAATGGAAAAGGTAAACTGTTCTAGTTGAAGAAATGCAGCCTCATTTGACAGGAAAAACTTTCCAAGAATAAAATAATACTTAATGCTGTCAAGAATCCAAGTCAAAAATTCACTGGCAATAATGTTTGGGAGTACAAATTTCTGTTGTAGTTTTGGAAATATATATGTTTATCATGAAAGATGTTCTCTAAGCTCCTACTACTGTTAGTTTTAAGTTCTGTCTAATAAAATGATCAGAGGTATAAACTATAAATAAGAATTTTTTTCAGTTAAAAAATGTGAGAAGTAACATAGGTGTACAAAAACAGGAGAATGATTAAATTATAATCCATATGATGGAAAAAATTGCACACATAGTAGGACATCATGAAACTATGATATTCAATATTTAAAAGAATGTTTAATGACATGAACGTTTTTATAAAACTGAAAAAGGTAGAAACAAAAAATATTTAAGTATTATAATGCAAAATTTAAAAGCTGCCCATTAGTTATAATGCATATCCAAGATAAAACTAAGAAATGTTAAGAAAATAACATTTGAAGAATGAAGATTGAATAGAATTATCAGTGATTTTTGTTATTATCATAATTTCTTGGAAGCTTCTGGGTAGTAGGGTTGGCCAAAAACTATTGGAAGCAGCTCTTTTTCCTTCCACCCATCACTCTAAGAACAAGTAGCAAAGTCTGGGTACATTGTTGCTATTCAGTCTTTTTTCTTTTATTTTGTAAAAACCATAATGGCTTAACATTTTCATTGTCAAGCACAATTCTGAACAAATTATTAAGCTGTAGAAGTGCAAGTGTTAATTATTTTTCATGCTCAAAACTATAATCACAGTCAAGTGTGCAACTGTTCCTGGATGTACACATGCACTACACTCACTGAGAATGTACAGTACTCCACTATACCTGGTCACACATACCTTTTCCATCTTCAGATCTTCAGTGTTAAACTTAGTGTAGTCTTCTTTTGCTTTTACGGGCTCATCTGACATCTTTAGTCTCTGTAATGTTAGAGTAGTGAAGTGGAATCAAATTTCTCCTGACACTTACATCAATCCATTTTTTTCTTAAACGTGTAATTTGGACCCGCACAGAAGCCAATGAGTTTTTACAAATTTTTCTACATTTTGACAACTATCTAGTAAACTAAGTAAGGCACAGGTCACTTTCAAGAAGCCTTGGTTATGATGGGATATTACTGGGTAGCTAGTATATAGCCCAGTTTCTCAGCCCCTCACGAATACAAATCCACTCTGTATGTACCATGAACAGTGGGCATCTAGAAGGCTGCAGACTTCAAGGACATTCTAGGGGCTAAAAGCAAGAGAAGAAGTCAAAGATGAGAATTCCCTTGAATGGAGCCAGGTATTCAGCCATACCTCCACTTCATTCACAGCCTAGGATAGTTTAATGTTTACTAACGGATACAGGGGAAGAATTATCCTATTATCATCACCTTTTGGTAGTATATACCTTTCCTTCCTTTCAGTTCAACTATCTTGTTTTATCCACATACTTGTGGAGCAGGCTACCAGGAGAAAGGAAGCATAGAGAGGTGACATAAATAACTACAGTCACCTACTGGAAAACTTAGGGTGAGATATCAATTCTTACATAGGTGTTCTTTCCAACAGGCCCAATGCAACTAAGCTGAACCTTCACGGAACATTACTACATGAGCATTTTGTACCAAGGCATATGAGAGTCCCAGAAAGAGTTGGACTGTGGACTTAATGATCATATCATAGAAGAAATCAAGCCACACTCCTGTAAAAGGAGCAAAGCAGAATACAATAGTCTTAAATCACTTTATAGTGACACCAACTCAGATTATTACAAGTCTTCACACTCTTTTTGGAGACACAAAGTTGACAAGAGCCAACATGGCATCCTTGGGAAATAAAGAATTGTGCCTAGATTCACTCTTCACAACCTTGCTTTTGCTAAACAAAGTTCTGGTAAAGTTGGTGCTAAAAGATCTCACAGGTCACAGTACAAGGGGTAAAACTACACAAAATGTTTGTAATCCTTTACAGTAAAAACCACAGGAGCATCCTGGAAGCCTATCACATGCTGTAGAAAAATCTTTTAGCTACACAGCAACCTCTAGTAAATACATTAACAAAAACAAGACTAGCTTATTACATGTGAACCAGCACAGAGTGAATAACGCAATGTTCTCAAGTATTGTTTCTTTTAAATTACGACAGAAAAGAGTGGCTAAGGGAAACATGTTTTTACAAGAAAGGCATCTTCAGCCAGGAGTAGAACTCACAACCCATAATGTTAAAGGCTTTAATATTTCAAAAAGCAAAGAAGAGAGAAGCCAGAAAGGCATTTGTGTATCTCCTCTGTGGCAAAATATTTCTCCAACAGATGTCACTGTAAACACTTGGATGTTATTTACTTTACTGATGATTTAAGATTTTAAAAGGTTATAGCTATGTAGAGATAGATGGGACAAACTAGGTAGGGTCAGAAGAGATAAGAACTCTTTAGAGCTTAAAAGAAAAACATCCTCTGCAGTGTTCCAAGAATGTGAACAATAGGCAGCCTTACTTTTGTAATAGTGTCCACCCTAATTACTGCAATTCATATGCAAGTTCCTGTATCAGTCTACCAACAAAAATCCCAACCAATCAGGTAGGGCTACCCCAGGGGGAGATACCACCACCTCAATCTCATAAGGGCAAGACTGCTACTCCACATTTAGTGGTCACCCAGCTCTGGGACAACGTCCTTCTCCTTTCTTTCCATCTTTTCTGTTATTCTCCTACCCTGCCTGGTGACATACAGAGACATCAAGACTTAGAAGGGACCTTGAGATGAATGTGTCAGAGGCCCCCTCTTTTTCCAAGTACTGGAAGTTATAAGTGTCCTTTATCTAAGTATTACAAGAGGCCTGATCAGTATCAACTGAGCTTCAGAAAATTTTTTGGCCTTTGTTTTCCACACCAACCCCTCAAGACCCTGAAGTCATTGGGGGACCTGGCCTTAGCTTCTATTTTGGAGCTAAGAAAAAGAGGGACTTTCGAGAATTTTATGTATTTGAGGAGTGGCATAACCAGTTTTAAAAGCACTATCAAAGGGAATACAAGGGTCCAGAGCCTTGGTCAAGCAAGGCTGCAGCTCCAAACCAATTGCAGGTAAGAAAGAGCGAAACCCTGAATGTGGTAGAATATGGCCAGCAATTCACTTAGGCTGTAGTACACCCCCTGGATAAATGGGGACAATCTGTTTATAAGGGAGAAACACCCATAGGGGACACCTAATGGGGAGGGGTTTTTTACTGTGTCGTTTTTCCCATTCCCAACAGATGGGAACTGGATCTTCTACTGTCCCACTATACTCACCCCTACAGTATGTTTCTTCAAACACTGGAAGGATTTAGATGATCAAATCTTAAAGAAAAAAGGCCTGGTCCTCTGACTTCACTTGAAACTTTCTCCAATTCTTTTACTTATCTACTCCTCTTGTCCTAGCTCTGTCTGAGGCTCCATCCTAAATGGTAAATATACTATGTTGAAAAGTTTGTTCACTGCAGACATGTTTTGGACTGCTTCTTGATTTCAATTTAATTCACATGGTTTAAGGGTGATTGCCTAGTGACTATCACAGGTGGTCAGTTTCCACGTTGTGCTTGATCATATTGTGTTGCTGATTGTATCAGTTGGGATAAAGGATTGTGGTTGATTTGATGAACTGTTTTCACTGATGTTATGAAGATGAAAATGTCTATGGGTCATTAGAGACCCAGAGGCTAGGGCACAACTATATCAGGAAGATTTGGGTGATAACCCAGAGATTAAACCAAGGACAGCCCAACAACAAAAATAAAAATGACAAAACACTTAAGCAAGACACAAAGACAGACTTCCAGTTCACCAATGGCAAACAGTAGGGTAAATGAGGATGAAAAGGCTGATAGTGAACCACCAGGGCACCTTGAATTCAAAGCACAGAAAGTGACAAAACAGATCAATGAGGTTCTAGAAAAATTCAAAACAGAAATAATTTCCCAGATAACCACAGAGATGGTGAGCAAAATGAAAGTCGTAATTCGAGACTCTAGAACAGAAACTAACAAAAAAATAGATGAGCTCAGGACCATGATAGAAGCCATGAAGGCCCAACATAAGAAAGAAATGAAAACAATAAATGCCCAACATAGGAAAGAAATGGAATCCATAAAACAGATTCAAACAGATATCCAGGAGATTAAACACTCCATAGAAAGTGTATTCAACAGAATAAAAGAATGCGAAGATAGACTCTCAGATATAGAAGATAAGATTGCAGTCAGTGACCCTGAAAAGAGAGGTCTCTTAAAAACGGTAGGGGATCATGAGAACTTGGTCCAACAACTCCTAGATGATGCAAAGAAGAATAACATAAGACTGATAGGAATCCATGAAGTAGCAGGAAAAAATACAAATGACTTAAAAAAACTGTTGACAGAATTAATGACAGAAAACTTCCCAAATTGAGGAGAAGAATTTGACATTCAGATAAGTGAGGCATATAGGACCCAAACTAGCCACAATAAAAAAAAAAAATCTACACCTAGACATATAATAATCAAGACCCCAGAAACCCAACAGAAGAATAAAATACTACAAGCAGTAAGAGAAAAGAAACAAATCACATGCAAAGGAAAGCCCATC